ATTTTTGCAATATTTTCTATTCGACCAAATACCTTTGCTGAGAAATAAAAGTCCAAAAAATTCAAAATTGCGACTAGAATAATTTTCGCAACATTTTTTATTCGACAAATATCTTTGGTGATGGATGAAAATTCGAAAAATTAAAAATTGCAGAAATAAATGAATGCAAACAAAAATTTGTTATATATCATCCAGTTGTAATTTATTCTCATAGTAATAAAAATAATGTTAATATTTTACAACGTAAGGTTTTCGTGTTTCACATTGTTGAATAAATAAATTTATGAAATAAAAGATGGAATGGTGTAGGATGGACTGTTATATATGAATAACATATATATCGATAATATCAACGGTGTGTTAAATGTTTCAAACAACATCAACGAAGGAATTGATAAATGTTTGATCAAGTACCATAACAGCATTTTGAATGTTTAATAAATAGCTATTGTATCTGATAATGTACTCCGATGGATTTATAATTTTCTATTCCACCATTATAGATTCACAATATCTTTACGTTGTATATTTCCTTGCATCTTTTACAAAGCTGCGAATAAAAATTTGCACAAAATGCAACAAAATGATAAAGTACCTTACAATTTTCAGTGCTTTTCGAGCAACTTTAAAGACATAGATCTCGATGAAAAATCATGCGATTATAAATCAAACTCGAACTTTTATAATTTTCACAAATATAACAAAAGTGGAGAATTTTTTTCCATTTATCTCTTAAACCTAACGAAATAAGCAATTCTACAATGAACAGATTCGAATTCAGTGTACTAAAATACACGAAAAATCTCTCGGTTCTCGCAAAAATAAAATTAAATAAAAATAAAATTCGCTATACATCATTTGGTCTCACTCGTTCTTCGCATACATGGATCAAATTCGTGCAAAAAGATGTGAACTGCGATTAATCTCCTATATTATTAAGGAAGGGATAATGTAAAATTTGCATACGTTACATTAGCCTCAAGAAATTCCGAAGATCATAAAGTCTGCTATTATTTTCTACGTACTGTAGAGTGTATACGTATGTACACACGTATGTAAGTACTTATTAAAGTTCTTCCTTTTAGCTTTAGTTATGTGCAGAAAAATCACGAAATGAAAGAATACGAATTTCTTCCTACAGTCTGCAAACGATACGTGCATTTTTCCTGCATATCCTTCGATTCAGTCAGAAAGTCAACCTATAATTACTCGCCAATGAGTAACGTAAAGCATACCTGTGTGACTTATGCATTCGGCTCGCGCTGACCGTATACGTTTCCTGTACACCACTCTACACTTACAATTAGTATTAAAGAGCCGTATATCCGTATGTCGTCTTAATTGCGTGTGTAGTACCAATGCACGTGACCTAAAGCTCGTTCATGCTAACACGGATACGAATACCAAAGTTTCGAAAGTTAATTAATTACAAATACAGTGGAATCCCGTTTATCCGGCACAAACGGGACCGAGCCTGATCCGGATGACCAAAAATCGGGGTAATCCAAAAAAATCCGATCATTTCACGAAATGTTCTCTTCATCGAGATTTGAAAATAGTCAGGGTCTCCTAAACATTTACGTGAATACTTCCAATTTTGATTATCGATTAAAGATTTTAATTTCTTGAAAATCTAAATAAAAAATATTCCCCTCCAACATAGTCTTTAAAATTATACTTATACTAATTGACTTTTTTCTTAAGAATGATTCCCAAGAAAATTCCTCGAATTTAGGGTCCGTTTTCACACCTTAGATATGGACGATGGCTGATAAAACAAGAAAAAACACGTGTCAGATATTTTTTTCGAGTTATATTTCGTGAATTTCATCAAAATTGTTTTATCGATACTTGGGAAATGGTCATTGTGAGAAATAAGAATCTATAAACGCAACGAAATATGATTATAAGAAGAAGTTTTGGTCTCATGGAGTTTTCATTTTCCTGTTTGGCCGATGTACCGACAATTTCGTATAACGAGGACAGTCGGTCATTGATTAAATTTCCCTCCAACAACGCCAGTCATTGATATACCACGCCGTTGATAAGGAAAGATAGGGAACGAATTTGGGCAACTGGAACAACGTATAAGCTGCCCTAAAAGTTCATAACGCTTTGATTATTTTCTCCCTAATGTGAATTCACGGTGTGTTGAAGTTTTAGCCTGCCTTTCGTATCTTTGAATTTTTGTTGCATAACGAGGTCAAAGATAGAGCACATAACAAATCTTTCGTATATAACAAAATTAACGACGTACATAATATAGAAATAAATATATAATATATAAATAGTCTTTCGAGAATTTTTCTTAATAAATAAAAATAAGTTTAATTTCAAATTTCCCGCCCGCTAGGAAATCTGGGAATTTTTAAAAATAAGATATTGTTTCGTGTATATTCGGAAGTAAGGGACACCTAAACCATCTGAAATATTAAACAAGATAATATTTTCAATTTCCTAAAGATCTCCTACGAAATTTATGCAAAATTTATTTGAAATAATAATTTTAAAATAATCGTTTTGAATGACGTTAATTAATATTTGATACGTAATAACTAGTATCACGTTCTTTATTTAATTAATTAAGTAAAAATCGAAGAATAGATAATCTATTAATTTATTACTTCTTAATCGAATATTTGTTTCTGATATAACATTCGGAGTACGCATTGCGTGATAAGTATAGTAATAATCGTAATATAATAATAATCGTATAATAAGCAATAATAATTTTAATTGATACCGCATATTAAAAAATTAATTAATCTCATAAAAATTAAATAACAAATGGTCAGGGGGAATAACGAATAATTTGTTTCATAAAGTACCAGATAATTGATTTAATTGAAAATAGATCGATTTATTTCTCGTGTGTAATTATTCGTTAATTATTTCTCATATAATTTTACGAATTTTTCAAATCATGAAGCTGAAAATTTTCGCGAAACTGTCAACTTTGCACCAAACGTGTAATTCGAAATCGGCATTTCATTCGCAGATCGTGCGAAAAATAATTTCAAATCGAAATGACGCACTAGGAACTTCGGCGGTTACAATGCGCATGCGCGCGCGCGCCAAGCCCGTTTATTAAACGTCCGAGAAATTGGAGCAGATTTTCCTACGATAATATGGCGGCGACATTATTTATCGCAATACGCGCATCAGGCGACACTGCGGCACGTGCTCCGCGTATCCTTTCGGATCGTCAACGAAGAGGTCAACGGTTTAACTTCGTTCGCACAATTGGCCGGATTAACGTCGTAATAAATCTCAATTAGCGAGGCTCCTACGCCTGCCGCGCGTATGAAGTGGGGTGGGATGATTTTTGTGAATCTTTACCACTTTTCTTAATCCTCGAAAAGATCTCCATGCGATCGACAGGTGTTCCGATCCCAATTAATCGATATTCATATAGGTTATCTTTCACTTGTCTAACGATGAATGTACACTTATAGATTAAATTTCGAAAAATTCTACGAATCAGAGAATGAACGTAAGAAGAACTTCAAGTTCTCAACATTTCTCTCACTTTTATATATCTAAATTTTATATTCTTTCGTTTATAAATTGATTTTGTGGTGACATAAACAATTTGATCGAATACAGCGAAAATATACAGGTTATGATTTAACCTACGTATTCCATGTAGTAATCACGTGACTTACGCCATAAGGCGTAATATTTACGAGGATATTTTAGTTACGTGCATTCATAAAAATACGGCATAAATCTGTGGCTGCGTTTAGCAGTTGCTCTACACATAAAGCAACTTATGGCCCATTAACGTGATCCCACTTGTTAGTAACGTAACGCGCACAATCTGCCCTTGATATCATTCGTAATGAAGCACATTATACTGCCGTTAGAAACGGCTGCCTATCGATATTGTAGTAATAAATTACACAACTGCACATGTACCTTTATAATTAAACGAAACTATATCCCATGTCGAGTCCGTTGGATGCTCGAAATTTCTCTCAGATCTCGAAATGTAATTCAATTTCTAATCCAATATGGCGAATTATTGATATCGATTGGTAATATTATTATAGAAAGCTTAACCTGTTTTAGAATTTTATTTTGTTTCAGATATTCTCAAATTATTTCAATTTTAATTATAACGTTTACAACATTTATTCATTTCTCATATTACTAAATTTTTAATATTTTTTTCTTTATACATTTTTTAAATTAAGTAATTTTCGATATTGGATTTTGACGAGTCGCGTAATTTAAAGCAGTTTGTGCCTAGTCGAGTAATTAAATTCAGTCATAAATCGAGAAGATTTTCCCGTTTTGGGCAAACATTTGATCAGTCGTGTATAGAAGCAATTTGGCCAAATGCCAAGAAATCATTGTTTGTTCTACTCGGTAATGTTTCCAATGTTTAAATCCCTACGAATTAGGTTTAACCCGTTTCAGGAAAATGTTCGACTCTGTCGTCTCTCATTCACATTCCACGTTTATCTTTGTCATGAATATTATAACGGCGAGCATATTATATCCTGTTCCCGTGCCAGTTTTATGACAAGACGAATATCATTTGTCTGCGTAATAACGATAGTAATTACCGACAAGCTCTGAGATCACAAATTACTTATCGCTTAAAAATTCCGCGCCGGTATAAATTTCAATGATCACCGCGTATTCTATCAGACTATGTATATTCACTGCAAGTTCATGTAACCAAAAATTAAAAACTTTGCCAATACTTAATAAACACATTTAATAAATTCCCTACAACAATAAGTATTACTCTACAGTAATAAGTATTCGATTAATGTAATTATATAAAGGTAAACATAAAAATATTTCTTCCGAAAAATAAAGAATGCAATAACCTTTATTTCGACTTATAAAAAATAGAAACACACTATATCTTGTATTAAAAAATAGTTATTTTGAACAGAAAATGGTCTGTATACGTTAAGAAAATGTGCAATCAGCGTAAGAAAATTGAAAAATATGGAAACAAGATGAAAATGGGCGCGAAAACTTACCAGTGGCGCAGGCGCTTCCAGCGATCCAAATGAAATAGACAGCGGCAAACAAAATCCGCGTCCTCGTGCTCAGGAAGGTCGACAGGTCCGCCACTGCATTTCTCCACAGCATCTCCATGTTAGTTGGTAAATTCTTTACCGCTCTTGCCACTTGCACTTTCTTACACTTCACTCCGAGAACGTCATATAATTGCACGACTAAATTACGCAAACGAATACCAACAATTCCTATATGATCTCCGCATTTTTGAGTTCACGTACGAATTCGTCTTCGAATTACGTTTTCGTTTAGTAGGCGTAACGGAAGAGCATTACGACGTACACCTGTAAGACAACATTCCTTTTACTTGCACTCGCAGTCCCTCCTCCTTTCGAAAAACTGATGGGCTCGTAGCATCTGTACTGTCTTCCATTCGACTTTCGATATATCAATCAATTTTTCTACTTTTCGTTTTCGAATTAACAAACCAAATTGTTAAGTTTCCCCGTCACATTTAACGTTACGTGTCATTGCATGCTTCCTTGTGGTTCATTGTCATATTTCGCATTTTTTTTCCAGAATTATGCACGTGAAACGTGCTAGAACTCGTACTAATGTAAACAAATCTCTGCAATTATAATGAAACAAGAATTGATATGTAAAAATCATGTGAGAAATTGTTGCAGGGACAAGGAAAAAAAGATATTAACTTTCATGAGAACTGTACAGTCCACTGATGCAGGTAAATATGAATATGTATTCACAATGTTAAAATTCAAATGCCAACAAATTTGATTTCACATTTCTAATCAACACTTATTTTTTTATGATTCTACTTTACATGAAAACTAAAGTTTGAATGCATTCTTCCGTACGGTTGTCCCCTCAGGTAAGTTCCAGGTAACGCGGCACAAAACGGTCACATTCACCTAGTAACACCTGGCAACACCGTTAAATTTATTAGAAATTCGCTCATACGGCTTGTAATTTAAATGAAAAATACAATCGAAAAACTTTTATTATGAAACTTTAACGAAAAGTAAAAACTTGTATGACGCGACGCATGATGCGAACCGTCCGTGAGTTTCGTTCGAATTACAAAGTTTTGTTGACTGATCGTCATCGGCTGCGTTCACAGGAGGCGTAAAGTTGAAATCGCAACCACGCGCATGCTCGAACTGCCCTACTAGCGTTCAACCAGTCAACGAAAAGATACAAAGACCAATCAGCAGCTCTTCACAAGTTAAATGTGTTGGTGGTATTCGCTATACGTTGTCACACACAGTTCCATTTAAATAAAAAATATTTATTTAAAATTTGCTAATATTTCATTCATGTATATTTTCTTGTTACAAAACCAAGAAAACGATACAAAATGTATGCAAATTCTACTTTCTACACTATATTGCAGCTTCTATTAATCGTATTTTTAAATATACTCTTATTAAATTTGTACGTATTATAACTTATTTTAATATTGAAATAATTTACTATTGGGTCTTCTTTATTTATTAATTTTCTTAATAAAAAACTTTATAAATTTTATTAACGAAAATTATTAAAAAGATAACAAGGAAATAAGTGTTCGATATATAGGTAACTCACTTTATTTTCAATAAAAAAAAATTAATTTTGATATTAAGAAACTTTTATTGAATTAAATAAACATTAAAAGAAAAATCCAAGTATTTTGCCTCCAAGATGCTTTCTTCTAGCCTCTTCATGATCCATAATTCCACCACTTGTGGTTAAAACAACATATCTAAAATATACATAAGTTACAAATATACTTTAAAAATATAAAACTATTCATTATAACAACATAAATTTTCATGTACATACCCAAACTGTCGAGATGGCAACAGGTTGTTGGTCCACTTTTCAATATCATTAATTGGAACATCAAACCTAGGTGAAATTACACCACATTTGTTTAGCCTTCCACTAAGATTTACTACAACTTTACCACTGCGATGATCATCAACAATTTCAAATTCTCCAATATACCCTTAAATATTAAGAAATATATGATAAAGCTTAATTGCAGATACATACACACAAAACTAAAGACCTATATTAAATATTTATTTATTGCTTCAAAGGAGTGTTCATATAGATTCTTACCTTTTTTCATCATTACAGTTAAAAATTTAATAATCACTTTTGAACAAGGCCTTAAGAGAACTTGTCTCTTCCCACGTTTCTCAGCATTGTTAATGGATTTAAGTGCATCGCTAAGAACGTTCATACGTACCATTGCTAAAAGTAAAATATAATTTTACATTACTAAATAATTACAATATATATAAACTACTTATAAACTACTTATTTCTAAAATATATACAGACACCTATTCCGAAATGTCAAATAGACATAACCTATAATAACAACGAAATAAATTTAACCAATGTAATCCTATCCTTTTATGAATGTAAACAATATAATGTTATTAATTAAGAAAAATATATTTATCAATTTTAAAGGATACAATTCAAGTTTACTAAACAATTACAATAAAAAGCACAACACTATTCCACAGACCATTTTATATTTTCCTGAGTAATATACTAAGTGTAAAATATTATTATAAATCAATCAATTATTAGAATTAGAGATTAATGTATAATTAATTTATAGTGGATGAATTTAAAAAAATTGAGATTACCTGCGATTTATAATTCTGTTTATCACAACAATGTACACGCTCGATTAGCCCACCGAAAAAGAAAAATTAGATCCAGGCTTACCACACTAACCACTTGAATTTACTTGCAACCCATTGGTTGAAATTCTTGGGATTTAAATAATGTTTCAACAATCGTTAATAATCGTCATTTATTTCATGAGTAATAATCATTAGTAACAATATTCAGGGTATAAAAACTAAAACTTTATACAAATACACAAAATACACTATTATGTATTTAACTTTTTTTGTCAAATACCACGATAAATACAAAAAATATTACTGTTTCCCAATAGACCAATTTGTCCAAAGAATCATATGTGATTGGACTATAAATAAAATGAATAAATAATATGTTCTAAATCATATTTTTAACATTATTTAATTATATCAATTCTGATAAATTTGTTATAGATATTGTTAACAATTACTCTGATATAGAGAATAAACTACGCGTATATATTTCAACGTAGTGAAAACGTTTTGATGAAATATATTCATTGGAAAACAAGATCTGGTATTCTGTCATTGTTCTGTCGATAAGATAGACAAATTCTTGATCAGAAAGAAGAAGACGTACCGTAGAAGAATATAAGCTGTGGTCAATTTATCGAACAATTGGTGATCGAGTGCTTTTGCTGTTCGGTAAATGTGAATGTGTATTGTATTAACGACGATTATTGTGCAAGTACCAAGTGCTTATTGAAACACGAAATCTGAAAGTCGATAGTAATCCACGGTTCAAGAGAGTAGTATAAAGTAACGGTCCCTTGCTGCTTTCGTCATGTTGTCAAAATTGATGAGGAAGACAAAGTTGACGGGAGATGCTCACTGATATGGAGGTTGTTGAGAATTCCCTGGTCCGCGGGCCGCCTCTACTTGAAAGGTTTCCCGGAAGTTTTCATACGAGAAACACGCAAAAAGGTGTAAGTCGTCAAGCAACTATCGGCTGTTCTGTCGGCTTCCTGAAATTGTAACGTCGGTATCACCTGATTCTCAACTTGACTTGCTCATTTATTTTCCGTATACTCGTCATCCTCGGAGGATACCGCAACACGCATCAAAATCAGTGGTATCTTCGCTCTGTGAGGTCAATTTTTCGCGATGTTTCCTGTGTTTAGCTTGTGTGCTAAAATGAAAAGTGACAATAGCAAAAGTTATGCAGCTGCTCATATACATAAAGAATGTAGCAATTTACCCCATGACAGTGACTGTCCACCACTTCTTAGTAAATTATTGGATGAACTACTAGATCCTCGTAAATATATTGGTGACAGAGACACCATCGATTGGTGCAAATGGTTAATAGCTAGTGGTCATACACCGGAGAAATTTGCAGAAACAGGTACCACATGCATTTCCTTTTTTTCAATTGGTCAAACCAAAAGCTTTTTAAATTTTACTTAATAGTATAGCTTATAAGTTAAATAAATGGATCATTATTCACATTATTGCATTAATCATATATTTCACATATATTCGTGCAATGGGTCTTACTACATTTAGATATATCACACATTGCATAATATTATGGTATATACAATTGTTTCAAATATAATCCCTCAAACATGTTTTAAGAATTTATGACTTTATCAAATATAACATGCACGAAGATACATATTGATATAAATAATGTCAAAATTAAATGTTTAGATTATTAAAAAAACAATATAGAAAATTTAATTTTGTAATTAAAATAAATGAAATCTAAGATATTAATAACTACCACAACATATTGTACATTGTTTGATGGTTTTAAATAATATATTTTGTTTTGAATATTATTTTAAAATCTGTGATATAAGAATAATGCAATTTGCGTATTTGGCAACAGTAAGATTATTTAACAAATATATGTTCATATATACTGCTATAGACATAAATACGTAACAAATATTTTAAAGATAAAGCAGAAAATCTTCCGAATTAATAATAGCAATTTAAAAACAATATTAGATTATTAAAGTATTAGAGTTTTAAGTATGAATGATATTTTCTAATAAATTTAATGTATCTATAACTTTAGGGCACATATATAACAATAGAAATACAGCGTATTGAATTAAATTGTCATCTGTTTAAATCAAGTATTTGTTAATGTTTCAGTGAGCATGTACGATAATGCTACAACTTGTGGACTAGTTTGGATACCTAATTTTGTAGCATATCGTTGCCGTACATGTGGTATATCACCATGTATGTCTCTATGTACTGAATGTTTTAAAAATGGCAATCACTATGGTCATGACTTCAATATGTTTTTGAGTCAAGCTGGAGGTGCATGTGATTGTGGTGATACATCTGTTATGAAAGAATCAGGGTAAAAATTTTATCGAATAGTTAGAATAAAATTATTTAAAATTATTATTATTAATTAATATAGTATCTAATATAATTATTTCCATAGATTTTGTAATAGACATGGTCCAAAAGCAGCTGTTGATAAGTCAGCTGCTCCACCAAATCTAATGTGTGTAGCAGAAGCAATGATGCCTAGAATAATTCTTCGTCTTATACAACACTTACGTGAAAATTAGTATGTCATATGTCTCTTTGTTTTATTATCAAAAATACAAAAAATGTTGAAGTATTTTATTCATTATAGTAATGTGGGTCGACAAGCTTATGAAACTGCAATCCAAAATGCAATCCAAGATGAATATATAACAATGCTCATTGACTTCAACAAAATGGGAGCATTGATGAGGCATGTTATGACATCAGCTCTTACAAATCCACAAAAATATAAGAATCTTATTGGTCCCACGGCATCAACTGACACAGAATATGATAGATATTGTCAAGATAGCAATGAAATATATCAGAATGCAGTGAGGTCTTTACCAAATCCAAAACCACTTCATGAATATAAAGGTAAATTTCTTTCTATTATACATTTCAATATAATTATAACAAAATATATACATTTATCATATATATTTTATTGTACTATTTTAGAATGTGCATCATTACAAGAACATTTACAACATACCACTTTCTTAGAAGAATTAATGTTCTGGACTGTAGCTTATCAATTTCCACAGAAATTAGTCTGTTTACTATTAAATATATTACCAGATCCGGAATTTAAGGAGGCACTTACTCGTGCATTTGTATTACATTACAGTAGAGTTTCAATGATGCTTGAGCGTTCAACGGATCCTGATGTTTTGAGCAATAAGGTAGTCCATGTTAGTGTACAGGTAGGTTTATTGGCTAAAAATAATATTCTGTTTATAATAAAAAAAAAAAATGTTTTATATACTTATATTCTATATTTCAGCTATTTAGTAATGAAAATTTAGCATTGAAAATGGTGGATCAATTAAAGTTGTTGCATGTTATGGTAATAGCTTTAAAGTATATGATGAATAAGATATTGATTCAAAATACTTTGCATGGTAAGTAGTATTTGTATGAGTTTTATTAAATTTTTAGAATAAAACTTTTTCAAATTCAGTATCATTTCTTTTATTTCAGAACCAGATAACAATTTTCATTATGTAGTAGATTGTGAACGGCAAGTGATGAAGGAACATTGTTATTGGCCTATTGTATCAGATTTAAATAATGTTCTTTCACATAAGCCTATAGCTATTAGATTTATGAGCGACGATAAGCTTTTACAAATGTGGTTCGATTTTCTATCTATGTTTCAAGGTATTATTTAATTCTTGTACAATATAATTAAGATCATTTACATATAATAACGCGTTTTTAAAATTGTTTGCTACGTTTGTTTCAGGAATGAATGTGAATCAACAAGAAATTATTCAACATGTTGAATATGAATCTAATACATATTATGCAGCATTTAGTGCTGAGTTAGAAGCTAGTGCATATCCAATGTGGGCCCTAGTTTCTCATTTACGTGATCCCGAAAGTGTAGTTCTTACTCGTAGAGTGTTATCGTTTTGTCTCACTGCGTTAGAAGATTGGTTAGACGCTATAAATTTCAGTCATCCAAATGTGGTAAGTAATTAAACATGTACTCAATAATAATATGTTCTTTATTTTTATTTTGACTGCAATATAAGTTAGTTAAATGAATTAGTGTCAATGATATTATATTCTTGATACATTTCCTTTTTGTTATAGGGCGACAATTTCCAAGTATCGTTCCATCTCCCACTGCACCGATACTTCGCTGTGTTTATGTGCCAAGCTGTGCGTCAACAAGGAGCTTCACTCAATGATTTGTTGCCCCCTACTGATATGTTACATCTTTTGATGATGCATCCTTTACGTGTTCAGGTAAGTACTTTTCTTACTTTCTAGTATTATTTCATTTTTTTTTTTCTTTTTTTTTTTGAGGGTATAATGAAAATATGAAAGTAATATTTTAAATGAAACTAAAATTATATTTGAATATTTCCATGGAACTATATTTCTATTTAAAAAGTAATTATGTATTTTTTGTAGAATTCCACTTATGGTATTAGAAATGTTAATTTTTCTTCTTTTTTATATATACATATATTTTCTTTATTTTATCTTATACCTCAATATCGTGGTATTTCGAGATATCAGAGTAACAATACGGAGAAGATATTTTAAATAATTAGTAGGTTTACATTGTTTTATTTCAGTAATATAATACTAAAGGAAATCTATAAATTTCCTACTACAGTAAAATGTAACTTTTTATAAATGGAGCATTATTATTGAAGGTTTCACTAAAATAAATTGGAAGTAGGAATATATATATATATAATACATAAAAGAAAATTTTAACTTTCATAATGTTGATTTAAAACAAGTACTATAAAATGGCACATAAAATAACTTTTAGTAAAAAATTTACTTAAAAGTAAAAAAGAAAATTAGATGATTTAACTATCGATTTAATTAATTTATAAACTTAATCTTAAACATAAATTATGTAAATAAAACTTAAATTTAAATCATTGAAAGATATATGAAAGTAGAAGCAATACATAGTAAAATATTTATAAACTAAGTCTTAGTAATAGTATGTAGATATGTTCATAGTGATTTCATGTCACTTGGAGTATCAAGAACCGTTTCTGTAGTAAGAGGTAAATCAACCTGTAAATGTTTACTAAAATCATATGTAATTAATCTCAGTGCTACATATCCTCCTGATCCTGGTCGGCCTTTATGAAAAATGCCAGCACCGGCGATTGGAACTGGTGGATCTAATTCTATTGGTTGAGTATCAAGAAATGGTATTGTGTTTTGTGCAACATCACTTATCTTGTCGCTTGGGGCAAAATTTAGGTACTGTTCCGATTTCGAATCTGGTAGTGTTACAACAGATGGTCGAATTGGTATATCAGGATTCGTTAATTTTAATTCAATTCTGTAAACATAACATAGATGAGTTAAAACATATTTATAAGTATCCAAAAATATGTATGATTCATAATTTAATTTTACCTATCAGTTAAATCACGACTGGTCCAGAAGCTCCTATCCAATGGTTGTATCAATTTTCCAGTAGTAAAGTTAAAAGTTGACATTCTTATTTCTAAATTTAGTCGCGAACCAACCATTCGAAATCTGACACCTGAAAAATAATAGATATTATGAATGTGATATCTACAAAAGTAGTGAAAAATACATATCGTTTTCATTGGATATACCTGTCAAAAGATGATTTGTATCAAGACTCAAATCATCTAGGTCTAAACCTCTGTTTGCCCATGATAAAGTATGGTAATCAACACCATTTTTAACGTTATTATCTAATACAGAGAATTCTTCGATTGGTTTCCATTGTAGACTTATTTTATTGATGTTTCCTCGTGGCATCAATTCACCTTCCTGAATTTGCATGTGTATTATATGATTCACTTTCTTGAACCGGATACCCGTTACGACTCTACAAGTAATATTATTTGTATTATTTATTAAATTAATAACGTTTCATCTCAAAATTCTTTCTAACATATCTAATACAACAAATAACTTACTTATTATTTGCCACGTCAGATACAACTTGTTTTAAACTGAAGTATCGATCAGAATATTTATTATTGTCATCACAATAGCAAAAACAATAGCTACAATGCCAGAATAACCAACGCCACCAGCTATCGACTTTAATTGTCTCTTTCTTGCAAGTATTTCTTTGTCCATAGAATTTATCGTTTTCATATTGTATGTATTCATATCTTCGATCACTGTGTGGGTCCTAAAATTACTTATGCACTATTAGTTGTTAATTATTCAACATGTTCTTATTATACCAAGTATAAGTTATATTGAATGCAGGAAAAGAATTCTCATATACCGAAGGGCAAATCCACATATCGGAATCGATAAATTCGCATTTGAGCACTCTACCATTGCATTTGCGCTGCTGGGAGCAGAATTGATTTTTATAACATCCATGAACTTCCGTATATTCGTAATAAGCGCAATTTTCTTTACAGGTTGAAACAGAGTTCAAGTCCACCTCATTAACGATATATCCTTGGAACAATTGTGTTAAAGTAGTATATGTTTCATCTGTAACAATTATTTTAGTTATATTTCTTATTTTTAAAGATACATGAAAACATGAAAATATACCTAATTTATGTATTTCTGGATCACACTTCCACATTTCTCGGGGAGCAAATGCCATGGCTGTTTTTACAGCCCGCAGAGTTTCTATTGTTCTTTGCTCGTATTGTTGCTTCACCATGTTCATTTCCTCAGTGAAATTAGTACCTATATTAAATTTATTATCATTTAAAAATGAATTTTTCAAGGGTTACTTTACTTGAAGAATTCATTAATTACTACGTGCAGTCTTTCCTTTAAGATTCATTAAGTCTAAGAGACAAGAATATTCATTTTAATTTAGTATTGAAATAAAATAGAATGGAATGAAATGAAAATATAAAAAATTGCATATACTTGGAGTATAAAGCCGCAATATATGGTAAGAGAATTGCATCATGCTGTAACCCTTGATTTCCGACAGAGTTACCATGGTATATAGGTTGTAGAGCAATTGTTGAAGCGTCTGTTTTTCATTGCAAATGTTCGTGGATGTTTCCTATAAACAAACGTAAAGAGGATGCTAAATTCGTTTAGATCAAATAATTCTTAAATCTCTACATTTGTTGATTATCAAAGAATGTTTGCTTGTTAACCACCGAGAATTCTTTACAATTCGCCTATTTATTTTTATACCTTATAAGCCGAAACGAATAATTGTTCTTGCGCTATCAGCTCATTAATTCGATCGAGGATGGGCACGATCGATAGTTTCGGATCGTGCAGAATAGTGTTCAAGAAATCAGCTAGTTTTTCTATGTTAAGAGGAGCATTTTCGTTGATGATCTCTCGTTGCATCACACGAAAAATTTCATACAAGGCATCGATCGCTTCTAACTCTTCCTTCGTTTCTCTCCATAACCGAATGGGATTCAAAACGTTTAAATATTTATAATTATTACTCGGAACGTTTAGTTCTAACTCGTCGCCAAACTTTTTGAAAGTCTTTATAATCCATAGATACTTTTCCTCATTATCACTATCAAACTCGTACGGTCTTGAGTGAAACAGATATTCCGAAATTTTTCTGTCTAACCGCAGTAGCTTATTTCGCATTTCGTCGATTACTGTGGTGTCGTAGTGTATGACTGTTGCTCCCCATACTATGGAGAGAAATAGTAGACATAGTGGGATGTTTGATTTCTTCATATTTATGGATTTTTTATTTTATTTCGTTCTTGATAGCTAAGTTTCGTCTTTAACCATATGTAGATAAATATGTAGACGAATCAAATTTTTATAATTGATTCATTAAAGTATTCAGTACCTATATGAAGATGTATAGTATTCAAGCATGTTTCCAACAAAATTTTTTAATTCTCTCTCTCTCCCTGGCTTCAGTTTATAATCGCATGATAAATTAAATATTTCAGTGACAATTGTTTTGTTTTATTTTGTCGATATTTTTTTTAATTCTACAAAATTCTATTGAAATTTTTTATTTCCTTATGATTTACTTTTTTTATGGAAGGAATAGACTATATACCGTAAAATGAAACATTCAGTTCGTAGAGATTATTAACGTGCAGAGACCTTGAAACCCAGAGAATAACTACCATGTATTTGTAGCAACGATTTATAGTTGTGTGTATTTGTACAAATTATCTACGTGTATTGCTTACTAACATGTGAAGCATGTTTTGATGTTAACGGTCAAACGTGCTGATTACGTTAGAAATTAGATACATCAGTAGTTAAATTAAAATGATCTCATTGTGTTTCGTTTGCAGAAAAATTTCGACCGTGGGATTTTCCGTTATTATTTTCGATTGATCATTAATTTCGTCGATTGATAATTTAATTTCGATGAATTTTTTCCTTTTTTTTCATTATCATAGATAAATTTAATTTACCTAAACGAGTCACATCCGCATATAATCATTAAGTTCTGTATTAGTATTCTGACGATACAAATGATCTCGTCAAATCGATGCTTTGAGAATTTTATTTCTGTAATGTAAAGTTTATAATAATCAGTTAGTTTACAGTATAAAATAAATGATATGTAATATGAAACAGAATAAAGTAAAATAGAGAAATACCAAAGAAAAAAAGAAACTAGCTTATTGCATTAGAAATAGCATCTCCTAAGGTTTCGTTGTATCTATTGCGACTTATTACACATACATATATCATAATTCTAATTTATTTAAAAACGATTAGTTTTTTATTCTTACTGACTTAACGACTCGATATGTCTACGTTAAAAAGTATTAGTCAGTCACAGTTTTGTAATACGTTCTCCATTTATGTCCAGATCGTATCACGGAGAAAATATTCCACCTTTCGCTATTCGTACTGTATTAACAACTGTTATAACAAATCACAAATTGTATCTAATATTGATTCTTATCATAAAACAAATCAATCGATTTTAAAGTAAAAATTAAATTACCTTTACTAAGATTTTATTCACCATTTTACTTTTATTAATGAGTTTTTTCTTTAACAAGTTATACATTTTAGATACTAGGTAATGATTAATATGACGGACCAACCTTTTTCAAACGTGCTACTTGTATTTACATATAGCAAAAATCGTGCGTGTAACATTCAAACATGATACGGCAAAATGGTGTGAGAAATTTTAAGATAATGATTATCTGAATATAATCTGTAAGAGCAAGATCTCTGAACATTTCTTTCCGCATAAAATACACAATGTTTTACCTATGTTATATTATTTATATCTCAAAAACAGTTTTCAATCTTAGTAAATGGAAAGTATCCTTTCAAAGACATATAGGTCGTGAAAGGTTAGTATAATTAATTAAAGTATTTCGAGCGTGATACGCGAAAATTGAAACCAGAGAGATTGTAAACACACATCACCTCTTACATTGTTTCTTGTATTTTTAAAAAAACTTTAGTTGATAATTTAAGCTGTTCCAGCTTACTTCACTGTGTATACTGTTGCACGAACATTTATTTAAAAATCACTTTTGATACTTAAAAAATGTTTGGTAAACGTATTCTTGACATAACGGGGAAAATATTCAAAATCTACACTATTCTTTACTCGTTCAGACTATACTGAGAATTTCGCGTTATTGTTCTGTCATTTGACTCTGCATCTCCCCTCTCAAGTTGCAATCGTTCAAGCTTAAACGGTGTTGTATTTCTGCGCATGCTCTTTTCATTCCCCCACTCTCTTCGTTATCGAACTGTTTGCTTAAAACACATGGTTGCTTTAGTGAAAAATGTCGCAGTGATTCTTTTGTTTCTTCTAAGCCAATGGAAGAATAATTTATTAAAAAAAATGAAAACTAGAATCATTTCATTTAAATTAAATATATTTAAAGTCTATATACTCTGTAATCAATTTTTAATTGTAGCAATCTCATTACGATAATTTTATAATTATTTCTTATGAAATGAAGAAAGAACAAATCTTTTTTAATCGTTGTCTTTGTTGAATTTATTGTTCTAACAATCCCTTTGATATAAATAATTTAATTAAACGAGCACAAGTTAATCATGTGTTATAGATCTTATAGCGTTGTTAAATTTATCCTTCCTTTTGCTTTAATAATTATAAAAATGTATATAAATTGAAGTATAAGAAGATAATAGCAAATTCAACGTTATATATCTGTTCCATCAGAATTTGAATAGGTCTATAAATTGTCAGAGGTCATTTCATTGTTATGATATCCTCTAGTAGCTAATACCCCTTTATACTCGACAGTCACTGATAGATTAAATTTCTAATAATACTACATTAAGGGCTATTCGTATACCGAAAATACTGAATACTAATTTTTTTTGTAATGTCAGACAGTTTAAAAACTTAATTAAAAAATATTTCGCAAATATAAGTGGGACGAAATTTTGTGTCGTTTTTTCTAATTTAAAAAATAGAATGCTTTTGGAACAATTAAAAAGATATTTTCTCGCAATTATATCTAATTTTTTTTATCAAATATACATTTAAAAATATATAATTTATATTAATTTAAAAATATACATACTTGCATTGTATTTGCTAACGATATGAGAACACTTCTGCTGAGGATGTCTTCACGAGAAGGAACAATTAACTGATGAATACTTTGCAAAATGTTAGGAAGAGCACCCGATTCTACGGAAACGCACGTTCTTGCAAAATCTTCCATTGTGTATTTCTCGTATTTATTAGGTGAAAGGTAAAGTCTTTTGAAAGTATTGTATAAATCATTTATGTGACCAACAAATTGATCAATCATACGTAACTGTTGATCCAGTCTTTGTTGTAACGGTATTTCGATTAAGAGTTTAGTCATAATGGCATCGAACCGTATGTTCATCTGTCCTTCAAAATTATTAAGTTTGGTTGACAGCTCTGCTATTTTATTCTTTACTTCTTTTTCATGTTTATGGATAAATGGAAACATATTGTATTCGGCATCTTCGGGTTGTATTAACTTCCATGCTTCAAAGATGTCCGTTAATATAATCTCTCCTAATTCTATTACGTCTTTTATGTCAACATAACTAAAACTATTTGTAAATTGTGCTAGATTAAATAATAAGCAAACAAAAATAATCTTTGAACTAATTGTGACCATTTTTCTGAATTCAATTATAACAAATGAGTTTAAGAAAAATTAGAAAGTTCACACATAACACTGATCCAATCACGTTCTTCTTCCTCCTTTTATTAAATGAACTGTCGACTTTATTATCACATGGGGATAAAATTGAGATTTTCAGCAATACTTAAAGAATTAATCACATCAAGGATATGTTTTAGTCCTCTCTTCCGAAATACACTTCTCTTATACAGTAATTCTTATAAACTTGACAACACAGCATTCGCAATACTTTCCAGCGACGGGATTGGTCGATTAAATGGAGACACACCATGAATTTACAAATTAATTGCTTTACAGCGTTGTCAGAGAATCTGCCAGGAGTGTAGAACTTTCCCCTACTTTTCTACGCAAAGGTAGGAGAAAAGGACTGAGAGTGGAGGAATAATACCGTCCGTATCTGCATTTCGTACCTATGGTGGACTGTTCCTATCCCTACATTCATACCATACCATTCCCCACTCTATACCTTTCGTTTTAGGGAAGTAGGGGAAAGTTCTATAGAAGTGCTGCAGGACTGGTAGCCCTGCGACTGGCAACCCTGTACTTAGCAACCGTGGTTCTCACTGACGTCATATTGTCATCTCCCTTCGTTTGAAAGTGGGATTTAGTATATTTTTCTGACAACGAAGGTTGTCAAGAGTCTCTTTGTACTATGAAATTTCCTCTCCACTATCTTTGCAGCTTCTCCGACAATGCTGTTCTATAGAGAAAGATGCCTTTATATTTGAAAAGTTTTATGTATGCGTTATATTTCAATAATATCATGTGAACTAGAAATATTTTTTATGATAAATTGCTTAAATCTTTATAAAAGTTCATTATAAGCAATGGATATAAAGATTTAAACGCTTATTTTCCCCTATATTAACAGCATATTCAAGTATTTCATGATTAAAAATTATAAATAATTTTTTATGTACATAACTCTGTGTATAGCATTTAGGAATTATCAAAGCAATTCAATTAAAAAAATTAATATATATTGTTAGTTTTTTTATGCATCATATATATAGTATAAAATATCTTTAGATATGAAATGAGGTAACATTTTAGCAAATAATTTTTGTTCACTTATCTCATTTTTTAACATTAACAATAAAATAATTCAATTTTATTTAGGTTGCCTTTTATGAAATTTTAAATGGATTATGGGTGCGCAATGGTCTTCAAATAAAAGGGCAAATTATGACATACATACAATGCAACTTTTGTAATTCAATGGTAGATGCAGATCTTTATTTACTGCAAGTTTGTGCAACAAAACTACAACCAGATGTTTTCCTAAAAACAATTGTTAAGAAGTAATTTTCAATACTTTATTAAATATGTATTTAAATTATATCTTTTAAATTAAAGTCATAACTGATAACAATTTTGTTTAATTAGGTTTCACATAAAGCAAAAAATGAGCCTTTGTTTGTACAGAATATCTCAAAACGAATACTTGGATGACACACCTATGTTAGAAAGTTTCTTAACATTTCTAGCTATATTAGTTAATGTTCGAACAAATTTGGGTAAGTTTTTTACATCATTTTCTTAATTTTACTAATATGACAGAAATATATGAATATATATATATATATATGTTTATGTTTCAGGCTTGTCTGATGCTGAAATGTCCCGCTTAGAAATGGTTACTTTATTATCTATGGGAGATAAAACTCACAGTCAGATAATGGAATTAATGCCAGAACGTTCTGGTAGTCCCCAAAATAGAGATTTTGAATCTGTATTAAATGATGTATGTCTTATGCTTTGTAAAAAGAATAGATATAAGATATATATAAAGAAATTTTTTAATAGTTACAAAAAATATAAAAATAGATACAAAGGGAATGAATATTAGATACCTACTTTTATAATTATAAAATATGATTAACAGGTTGCAGTGTATAGAGCACCTAATCTTGAAGCTAGTGGAAATATGCAACAGGGAATGTATGGTCCAAAACCACGTTTGGTTTGGGAAGAGTTATTTGATCCTTTACATGTTTTACTTCGAGCAGCACAGAAAGGAGATTTCCAGATGGCAATGGATCGTTTTACTGAGTAGTAAGTAAATTTTATCCAAGGAAATAATTTTAAAAGATATGAAAGATTATTTTATACTAAATCTCTATAAATATATAAAAAATTTTTGTTTTAACTTTTGCAAGTATGGCTATTTTTTTATCCGATATTTTGTAACTATTTCAGTGTAAAACAGTCAGGTAAATTGAAAAGTAGTGCAATTCCATGGCCACCATTTAGACATCCTGCTCCTGTTTCACCTGCATATGATGACCCACGAATTGTACTACGAACTAGGGTTTTTCATGCTATGATTTTAATAATATTGTATCAGGCTGTGTATGAACATAACATATCAGAACATGTAATGGCACTGACTATTTACTTATTAGAAATGGCAGTAATTACTGCAGAAATACCTGATAAATCTGTAAGTAATGAGTTATAAGAATTGTAAAATTATAAAATAATAATTGTAATTTTTTTTTCGTTTCATCAGATGAATCCTTTGTGTCACTATACTAGTAATGAATCATCTCATATTATAAATGACACTGACCTAGGTGGTTGGTATAAAAGTGATAATTTATCCGAAAATTTAAGAACAGTAATATCTCAAGTCATTTTGCTTGAAAAGTCAGAGTCAAATAGTTCAGATAGTGAGTAAAGTAGATCATCAGAAACCATTGTCTTTTACTATATTTTAGACCATTTATTATTATAATGTTCTATAATTTTCATAGGCGATTTTGAATGGGAAATTCAAGGTGAAATGACTGAGGTTGGAACTTCATTTACAATAAATGATTATGCAGCATATGAGGAGTCTTTAGATGTTTTATCATCTTTAGATCCAATTAGTAATGATACTGGATTACAAATTGCTATAAGTACATCGTTGCCTACTTTACCCCAAGTAGATGGTAAGTTTTGTTTTGTTCTCTTCGTTAGTTGATGTGATATAAACATAAAACATACTAAATTAAAAAGAAAAAATTTCAATTACTATACTTTAAAATAAATATTTGCATTAATAAATTTAATCTTATGTATGCAAGTTCTTTAAATTTTATGTGTAAATCAAAAATAACCCTTTTAGGTTCTTAGGAAATTTGTTATGTACTCTAAACTCATTTTATTACTATCTGCAATGCATACTCTATTTTATACATGAAATAATAAATGCTTCTATGTTTTTAACTGTGAAATATACATTTTAGTGTTAATTAGATGTGTCATATGATAGTGTAATATTTTATTTTTTTACTATTTTATAGATCAATTTCAAATAACTTTTGTACCTGAAGATGGAATATCAGAAACTAATAGTGAAGATGATTTAATACCTCTACAAAGAGCCTTGCCACCATCTACCGAAGAATCCATGGCCCTTGCCCTTGAATCACCTCCTTTACCAAACAGTATGTTATTAATCTTCTCACCTTAACCATTGTTATATCCTTCTTATTGCTGTGTGCTTTATGCTGTTACAAATGAATAAAAAGACACGAATATTTTTATTAGGAGAAAAGTATTGAATATTTTTAATAGAAAATTAAAATTAATATTAATTATGTTTAGATATTGGTAGTCAACCTACATTACCGCCTGCATCTCAACGGCCCGCTGTGGTGGCTGCTACCGAAATAGTTGCACCAACGGTATACTCAAGACTAAGTAATTCTAGAGTAACAACGACAGAAATCGTTCCATCTACGAGTTCACCTAAACATTTTAAACGAAAAGAAACTCAGGTAATAACTTATATTTCTTTATATTATGTTATATATATTTCAGTAAATCAATTACTATTAAATTAATTAATTCTACATTTATTTTTTGTTTAGGGTGGGGCATTACAATCACAAACCGTAAAAGTAGACGAGAGTATAATCACGTTACTATTAAAATTGCACTCGCAGCTGTCGGGTGTTTTAGATAGTTATAATCCTGAACAGAGTGCAATGTCAGATAATGAAGCTAGTAGTAGTTCAACTTTAGAATCAACAGAATCGCGAATTGGCGATGGCCCATTCTTTATTGCACAATTATTGAACAAGATAGCAAATTTAGATCCCATGTGTAAAGAAGCTATAAATGAAGCTAGAAATAAATTATGGTCAAGTATGCAAGAAAGTGAAGATAAACAACGAGAGAAAGAAGATCAGGAAAGAGAAGAGCGAAGAAGACGGGCGAAAGAAAGGCAACAAAAATTAATGGCTGAGTTTGCCAATAAACGAAAGCAATTTATGGAAAAAGCAATGGAAACAGGTAAAATATGAAAAATTTGTAGAATATATATAAGATATGAAAAGTTTGGTATCATTGTATGTAAACAAGAAAAACAAAAAAGAAAATAAAACAAAGTAAAGTTTTTGAACTTCTATTTAGATGAAGCTGGAGTGTCTGGTATGGATTGGGATCAGAAAGATAATGCAACAAAATTAACTAGCAAAAAGGAATACGATTGTGTTATTTGCAGTCAAAGTAGTCCTAGTACCGAAGATAATCCCATGGGTCTTGTTGTATTAGTTCAAGTAATGAAACTTATGAAACTTTTTTTGCATATTTTAATTCTTATTAAAATATTTGTATAATACCTTTGTACAAATTTTATCTGTAGGGAACAAGTGTTATTGGTCATGAACGACAACAACCAGACAGACTGGTTTTACCTACTTCTGATGAAGATCCGCCTATACCAGAGTGTGATACACGTGGTGCCTATTTTGATCGTAGAATGAATGCAATGGGTCGTCATTTTAATGCCGTAAATATTTGAATTTTAATATAATATTCATTGACGGAAGTAAAGAAATTTGTATATATTTTTGTTAATGTTTTACAGATGTCGTTGTTGTTATCCGTTAATTTAGGTTGGGAGGGTGGAGTGTATGTTCAAACGTGTGGACACCACCTACATTTAGATTGTTTGTTGCCATATGTAAAGTCTCTTGATCATCAAGAAATACGACTTTCTCTTGCTGTAGATATCAACGAATATCTGTGTCCGCTTTGTCGGCAGTTAGCTAATTGTTTTCTTCCACTTTCTCCACGATTAGGAAATCGTGGACAAATTGTACGATCTCCTTCTGCTCCTTTTTCTACAATACTTCCGGAGATAAATAATCTATTAGCAGAGATAAAAAGTCATGCATTAACGGTAAGTCTCCTTTTAAACTTTGTATACTTATAATACTGATAATATTTTTTGTAATTGACAATAAATGTTCTTTATAGGGACGAACATCTTTATCTGAAGCAATGCGTAAAGCAGTACAAGATATGACAAAGTGCACAAATTCCAAGTTGCAACAACAAAATAGTTACAAAAGTTTGTTTGCTTTCATAACTTCTGTAGCACGAACTAATATCGAAATTGAACTTGTTCAACGTGGTGGATCATTATGTATTCCACCACCTACTACGATACCATTAAGTCCAAAACGCGACTGTATTGGTAAATTTATTTTTTATTAATTATAATTAATGATAAGTAAAATAGTAGATTTTGTATTAATCTTTTTTTTCAAGTTCCACTTCTTGACGTTCTGGTAGAAAATGCACGTCTGTGTACGATTTGGCCAGTACAACGTACATGGCAACAACTCTGCGGGCTGCGTACAAATCCTACGACCTCACTCTCTTTAACGCTATGCGAAGGGGAAGTTCCGCTACTTCTAACAGATCCAACTGCACTTCTTATACAGTTTATTTTATTACCTCCTTTGCATTTGGATCAAAGTAAGTATATAAATTCATTTGTAAATATATTTTAATTATTTTACAAACTTTAAAACATTAAATAATTCATTTATTTACAGTGTATTTCTCTAGCATAGTAAAAGTCATCTACAACTTATTGTACTATCAAGTTATAGTACAAATAAGCGGTGGTCTCACACAAGCAGAAAGAAATACATTTTTATGTACAGGATGTGCAGAGCACAGTTCTATGTCTTCAGAAACTATACTTTACAGAATCATTGAATATTTCAATAATACTCCACTTTATCATTCAGATACTTATGATCCATCTACTTCATCGTGTACGTTATATACACGAGATGAAATACATAGTATCGAACAACAGGTAAGTGTATATAATTAATAATATAATTCATAATTTCATATTTTAAAAATATTTTTGACATGTGCTCAATCATATTATTTCAGATACAATTTATGTGTTTACCATTTTTGCGAGTAGCTGCTTTACTACGTTATCATTTATACGAGGAACCGTTACCTGTAATTAGGACATCACAAACTGAATTTGCTGGATTAGTTTGTTACTTAGAATTAGTTCCAGAAGGCATAGATTGGAACATGTTTAATTCAGCAATAACCTTGAACTGGCAAGATGATAAGACCAGTGTTTCGGTGCCTCGTATGTGGTGTGATGGAATGCTCACTTTTATAAATCGAAACGATGCAGGCAGATATTTAATCATGGAACAACACATATTGTGGCACGTACCCAAGTTACTTAGTCTTCCAAGGGAGTATGAAAAGATTTTCACGGTACATATGTATATATATATATATATATATAAAATACTAAAGTTTTATAAATGATTATTTATTTCTTTTTTAGTATTATCATGGGCGACAATGTCGTCAAGGTCATTCAGTTCCACAAGAGATAAGTATTTGTTTATTATGTGGTGCCATTGTTTGTTTAAAACAAAACCGCATACAGTGGAATGTATCTGAAGTTGTTCAAGTAAGTACTAATACATATACTATTTGTATACATACTATATATTAATAACTTATAACTATAAAAGTGCAATTGTTTTTTGTGTGGATAGCATTCGTTTGATTGTGGAGGTGGAACTGGCATATATTTGGTGGTTACATCAACTTATATTGTTGTAATTCGCGGACAACGTGTTTGTTTATGGGGATCTTTATATCTTGATGATTTTCAGGAAGAAGATAGAGATCTGAAGTAAGAATTTTATTTTTCAGTAACACTAAAATTAATATTAAATAAATTACTGAAAATTTACAATTTACTTTTACATAAATTTTGGATTTTTATTATTTTATTGCCGTAAAAAAATTAATACGTTATTGTATTTATTCATCTTATTATAGACGTGGGAGACCTCTATACTTAAATCAGGATAGATACCAATTATTAGAACAGCAATGGCTGGCACATAGGTTTGACCATACGAAAAAGACATGGGTATGGCATCGTGATATACTGTAACATTTTACAACGCTAAAAAGTGGTTACTCTAAAACAAGTCGAAGACTTTCAACAGGTTTATTCCCATACAATGCCTCGCCAAGAAATAACATCGCTTTAAGAAATAACAGATTGCTCTAATACTTTATGAATAATTATATTTATTATGATGAAATGCGTAGATAGGCATAATATTGAATGAAAGTATTACAAGAAAAAAATGTGGTGAGAGCTAAAGCAAATTGTTTATAGTCAGAATACATGAAAGATTATATCCGAAGAAATGTATGTTTTAAATCACACATTGTACATTCTATTTAAGTATATGCATATAAATTATGTCCTAATAAAAAAATACTTATTTAGTATGTAGCATTTGCACGTAAGAGACAAAAACTATTGAATTTCTTAGTCGAAATTTCGGTTAAACTAGGAATCGGATAAATTATATCGTTGAAGATAAATAATGTCATATTATTCATGAAAGCATAATCTTTTTTCATTAAGGTGGATTGAAATATTGTGTGCTTCTTTTTAATGTAGGAAAAACATAGAAAGAAAATTTGTTATATCTTATAATTTATTACAATAATTATTTTGTTGTATACTGAAAATCTTAATTCAAAATCTTTTTTGTTTTTGGTTTATTCAGAAATAGGATATTCTATGATTTATTATCATAAATTGAAAACTGCAAAAGATTATACTAGCTCTATAAACATGACAAAATCAAACAGTGATGTCTTTATAATAACTCTGTTTCTGAATAAGTTTAATAACAAACTTGATTTTATATCTCTGTATAATTTTGTTGCAATTAGTAACACGTTTTACACTGATTCTGAATTCGTATAATCGAAGTAGAAATATCGATCGTGCATGAATTTTTAATTACAAGGTGAAGGGAAAATTTTCGTATTAAATTGGCTAAAATATTAAGAAATAATTTTTTAGAATGAAATATTAGTTATATCAAGATTGACATGCAAATTGTGTTTTGAATATCGAATTAACACATGTTTTTATTTATAAAAAAAAGAAAAACAAAAAAAAAACAGAGTCAGTAATGTAATAATAAGTCAAATTGTTATTAACACTATATGAATATTGTAAAATTTTTTCTTACAAAACAATATTCGTTCTAATTTAATAACGTGAACTTTTTGTAACAGTTTATAACCGATCAATGAGCTCGAGATTCAGACAATATTTGATGCATTATTTTTCTGTATGCATATTATGGGCTGTGTATATGAACCTATAAACTCATTTTATTGAATGAACTATTTATCTACTTGCTAATTTTTCCGCACCGGTGCATAAATGCTAATTAAGTAATTGAATTGTGGCAATTAAGTTGTTATTGTTTTTGAAGAAACAATTTATATACGAATCTCTAATTAAAAATCGATCTGAAAACTTTGTTAAATATTTTAATTTCCAATAAAAAAAAAAAAAATGGTATTTACAATAGAAAACCTTCTGTCGAGGATTTAAATATTTATGATATTATAATTATAGAGGCAAAACATTGCTTCTTTCAAGTTATAGATTACTGTAAATGTGTAATAATGATAGGATGCCACATATTAGGATTACTAGTTAATTCAAAATGATCTGTAGATAGTTAATTATTTTTATGAATGTCCGCTTATAATGTTAAAAATTTGCGAATATGTTAAGAAATGCTAAAAAATAAGTAATACTAGCAATTATCAATTCTGTTCAATGTATAAATAAAAGTAATTCTATTAAATGAAAAGTTTGCCTTGTAATCTACAAGTATTTTTATTTGTTTAACTTTTCTTAAACGGTACGTAAAGTAAGTAGAGAAAGATGAAGAATCATTTATTTTCTAGATGGTTATTACAGGTAATTATGCTATTGACAGATGCAAACATGATTCGTGAAATCGGTGAAGCTCAATAAACGTAGATGCAATTTAACCGTAAATCTAACGATTATTACAATATTATTTATATCAAAATCATTTTCTGCTTTTGTTACGAAGATGAAAGCCTACATTATATTACTATTCAGTTATTCTTCTATTCAACAAGTACTACATTTCGTAATAGAGAGTACTACTAAAGTAATGTAATTATTATTTTTACTTATTTTCTCTAATTATAAACGTCTATTTAAATTGTTTTTATTATCTAATAAAACTACTGTATCGTTTACAAAGCCAAATTTGTTTAAAGATACAATAATAAAAGAAAAATGTCAACCAATGTCTACACGTTAGCAATGAAAACAGAAATTATATTACTTATCTGTACAAGAATAAATTTTATTACAATTTGTAAAAATTTTGTCTTGTTAAATTAATGAATAAGTATTTTATAATGAGGATGCCTATATAGATGTCTAAGCTTCAAGTGGAATCTACAATGCGTTAAAAAATTAACAATTTTGTAAATATTTATCCATTTCAACTTCAGTGAAACACAAATAGTGTTTTTCAGAAAATAAAAATGTTGTTGTCATTTATGTATAAAAGAGAATTGCACAATTGTTACTTTTATCTTATATAAAAATTTGCATTTTTATTATTATAGTATATAACATATTTTTAATAAAACTTGAAAACTATAATAAAATGTTCTCCAGAAGCATCCACATTACTTACATCAAATTAATTAATCCATAATCGTTAAAAAAGAAGAAAATAAATCTTTTGGCATATGTGTGATGTAGAAAATACTTTTGTTATTACAATTACATTGAAAAGGCAAAGGGAAAATATTACAATTATTTCTTTTATTATAGATGCACCTTAAACGCAACAATTTTGTTTAAATCATGTTCACATTATATAATATTTACTTTGCTTCAATAACAAAATTAAAACTTTTGAGGATTTTTGCAATCTAAATCAAGGAATTTCAAAATCCATCAAATGTAAATATATTGCCAAATATTATTAATGGATAAAACTCACTGCATTTAAGGCATGATTTTTTTTTTTAGTTCTGCTTTTCTTTTTGTTTTTGTTTTTTTTTCTTTTTTTTCTTTTTTTGTCTTTTCTGGATGAACATATTGTATGAAACTGACTGTTGATGGTCCTTAAACTTGCCACGTTACAGGAATGTAGAACAGCACATCAAAATGTTACATAAAAAACCAAATTACATAATGTTTTTTTAACATACATATATATACTGATAAACTTGTCCATTTCATTATGATAGTCACTTTCACTTTAAAAGATATTAAAACTGAATAGATTTAACTTCTTCAGTAGTGACCACCTGTTTGTTCTTGATATACTTCAATAACATCATCATTTTCCATCTCCAACTGAAAGAATAATTTTAATATTACAATACTACTATTTTATAAAAATTATCATTTCAATTATAAATTATAATTCAATAATTAAAAAAAAAGTTATTTACTTTAAAAACCAAAGAGAATTCTTACAATGTTTAGTTCAAAATTTTAAGCTTAGGTAGAACATTACCTGCTTTGGTGTTTCATCGTCATTAATTCTTTTACCATCAAACAAAAACCTCAGTGACGTCATAGGAACACCCTAAATAAAATTTATACACAATTAAGTGTTTCTATTTTATAAATATAACTATGAATAATATGAATATTAAGTAATTTATGATTTTAAAACATAAAAATAACATTTGAAATATCAAATGAAAGATAAAATATTTTTTTTATCATATTTAAAGATACTTTAGTAATAAGTTACACTTAGTTCTTGTTGGATATAGTAAATCAATCAAAACTAAAGTTTTTTGATCCTAATGATTGAAAATTTTATAAATTTTTAACTTTATGCTTTTACTATGTACATAACTTCTGTTATTTATCATGTCATAGAAAAAAAAAAGAAAATTTTATATAAATTCTATAACAAGTTATTTTAAACAGTGCATTATCAAAATCTATCGATAGCATTAAAATACACATTTATTTTGAAAAGTAAACTAACCACACGATCGCTATATGATTTCTTGAGTTTACCCATTTGAGTGGTCATCTTTACCCTAAAGTGAATTTCATTGCTGTCCTAAAAAAAAAAAAAATGAAACGTCGAAGCTGGTTATTAAGCGTCATCGAGAAAAGATGCAAATACAGACATATAAAACTATAACTTCTTACATTTCCAACAACTTTAAGCTTGATGTATTCAGAATTCGCGTCGCCTGGGCCGGCTTCGGGTTTTTGCTCCTAATATGCAAGGTTAGATCGATTAGATTCAAAATATGATTGAACATTCAAATGTTATATTGCACTTATACCACAATATATTGATTAAGAAATTACTGGTTAAAATAAAAATGCTCACCTGATTGTCGGACATGGTAATTAATTAAATATAACAATCCTTGACCACGCGCCAGAACAGTAACCAAACACAAGCACGCAATATGGCGCCGCGCTTTTGTCAGTTTCACAGTCTTCTATTCTAAAAATAAAAATTTTAACGTTTAGTAGCTATTTTCGTTCCAAAAGACATCAATTTTTGACAGTTTTATTTAAAACTCATCTTTGAAAAGTTAATCATAGTTTATACATTTATATGTAAATACATATGTATACATATATACGTAAACCAGATAAATGCTCGTCTTTATCATACAGCAAGTTACTATCACGTTGATTAATTAAATCAAATTTGATTTTTCTTTTTTCTATATACTTAATATAAGATGCTTAATATTATGGTTTATTTCTATGTTAATTGCTTAATTATATTTGTCTTGCTATGTTTATGAACACAAATTTAAAATTTAAATCGATTTTTGTACGTTCAATGTTTTTGTATATGTAACGAAAAAATATGTTTTTAAATCAATTATTAATTTATAACGTATTAACAATATTTAGTTCAAACACACAATAATGTATAATATTGTAAAAATAATACAATTATGTAGATTATAATATTCAGGGAATTAAAACAAAATTTTCATAATTTGCTTTGATTTCTTACGAACTTTTAAGAACATGATTTTAACTTTCTTGTAATTAAGTTTAAGCTTTTAAAGTTTTGATTAATGATGTAATCATTTTATTAATAAGACAAACAAATAAATATGTACAAAATAATAATAAATTATTTAACAGTTGTTTATGTTTGACGGAAAAAATATCTTGTATATGAACAAATACGGTCATGTGTTCTAAAAAATTGGAATCGGTACCTTTTTTATAAATGCTTTACCAATCACAAATTGATGTAAATCATATCATTCGTTACATAAGAATCAGATTTGATGATTGTCTGTTCTTGTGATACAATACCAGAAGAGAAGTTAAAACACCTTGCAAATTTTATAGTATGCCATTAATGTTGTGACGTGTTATTTTTTTTAACCAAATAAACTGCAAATTAATCGGTTAAATTGGCTGAAAACGTACAAATACTGTAGGTAAATGTTATTTATTTTGAATTTACGTGCAAATTACAATTGAACTTGAGATCATCATAAAATGATAAGGTTATGTGCACATAGTTCAGTTTATTTCATATTACTAAGAACTTGTGGAAATATTATCAATTTCGTAAATGAATGTTCGGAATTATTTAAAGAAATGTATCAATATAATTAAGAAATAGAAATTTGAAATTTTGTGTGAATTTTAAGTTATCGTTTGATACGAAGGTTTAATAAAAGTGTTACTTAGGAAGTCTTATATCCTTGCAACCTTGAATTCGCTGTAATAATTGATTTTAATGATTCGGTGTATTATTAATTTCTTTTAATTATCAAATTGCATGTATAAACGCTAATTGTTGTATATATAAACGTTCAACAAGTATAGAACACATTTGTACATTTTTATTGAGATTTATTTATGAAGATATATTTAATAATATGTATAAAAGAAGTGTTTATTATCGTGATTAAATATTTAATTAGATACCCTAATGCAAGCAGAATTTATAAATATTTTCTAATAAAGTAAATAAAGTAAGATGTAGTTGACTTTTATCTTTTATTTTTTTCATTTCTAATTTCAAACAACATATTTAAAATTTAATTGCTTACAATATACAGTTATATATATTTGTCTTATATTTATTCTTTCAAATATATGATTTAATATTAAATGAGTCAGTATTATCTTTATAATTAAATATTGTATTTCTAAAAATATAGCATTTGCAAAACAGGAATAACTTTATATCAAATAAAAAAATATGTCACAAATTTATAGTAGTTATAGTTATTTTGATCAAAACATTGAATATGTTTTATATGAAATATTAAATATGCAAATTTATAGATGGTTAATATATTATAGATAATAATTGAAATAAAAATTATATTGTGTAAAGATAAAATGATGCAAGATGAGCATCTGGGTAGTCCTGCAAGACGAAATGTTTTCAGTCAAGCAAAGGGAAGAATATCACAGGTATTTATTTATCTTTGTTGAAACTAATTTGTTTTATAAGGTAACAAATAAAGATTATGTTAATTTTTTAATATATAAATTCATAAATTTTCATTATAGTTAATATATAAACTTGTATTACAGTTATATCAAAAGTATTTGGACCTATGGACTCCTCATGTAGCGTCAAGATGGACATTTGCTTTTTTCCTAATATTTGTTTTCTTCTTGCGTATATTTATCTCACAAGTGAGTTATTTTAAAAACTTTAAAGATATTAATTAAAAAAGGATTAAATATATTTTTGTGTTTATATACTTTCAGGGGTGGTACATTGTCACATATGCATTAGGAATTTATCACCTGAATTTATTCATAGCATTCCTTACTCCTAAAATTGATCCAGCAATGGAATTTGATGGTAAGTCTTCATAAATATTATTTGTGGGAATGGATATTTAGTTACATAAATTTGAAGTTAAATAAAAATTGTAATGTTAAAATTAGACTTTGTGAGTTGTGATTTTATATAAATTTATAACTTGAAAAAATTTCAACTCTATTTTCATAGTATATTTTTAACAGAAATTTCTTCATAGATGGTGAAGGACCAGAGTTACCTACAAGATCTAATGAAGAATTTAGACCATTTATTAGGAGATTGCCTGAATTTAAATTTTGGTATTCTGTGATAAAGTCTACAATTGTTGCTATGATCTGTACTATGTTTGATTGCTGCAATATACCAGTATTCTGGCCCATTCTTGTTATGTACTTCATAACGCTATTTTGCATTACTATGAAACGTCAAATAAAGGTAAATTTATATCTATTATAGCTTTAAGATATATTATTATAGCTCAATTTGTGATATATTTTCATATTTCTACGTTATTTTATATTATTAATTTATTATAGAAGATAAATAAGTGCATATAATATTAAAGAATGAAATAAATTCTTATTAAAAATAGTAAATAAAAATATAAAATAATTAATTTCAAATTTATTTGCAGCATATGATCAAATACAGATATCTGCCGTTTACTCATGGAAAACCAAAGTACGAGAATCACGAGGATACTTCGAGGTTAATACCTTCAAAGTGAATAGGTGTGAAGTATGCTTGTTGATGGAGGTGCATAAGTGTGTAGATTTCTATTTTCCCAGTATCATGTGGAAAGAAAAAAAATCCTTGAATTTGAAAGCAGTCAGATTTTTTTTTATTAATGGCATTACATACAAATAAAACCATTGCCTTATACAAGAAAAGGTTTAATTCATGAAAGGTGTAATACTAAAAGTATAATGTTATATGGTATATAAACTGAATTGTCGTAATATATTTGTATCATAAAATTTGTACAAAGTATTGCTAGGTTTACATAAAGTGGACACGGTAACAATATGAGCAGTACAGCAGTTGTTAATGTAATATTAAATTAACATTGAATGTAAAGAAAAAAATAATTTATACACGTAAGATTCATAATCTCAATAGTAGTACTGTTTTTTATTTTTTAGTGTATTTTGCTTTCATTACGAACATTCCACGTATAACAGTACGCTTCCTTCCTTATTTTTTAAATCTTTTCTTATATTTAAAAAATTTTATTCAAAATTTATCCTATCGATTTTCTTAAATCAAGTAAAAGTAGAAATATTGGTTAAAATTGTAGTTGCATATTAGTGTCCTTTTTAGTAACAATACGAATACATATTTTAATTCATCAACTTCTTCTCTACTGAAAAGGAAATGGAAATTTCTCCGACTGCTTATGATATACATTAGAGATCGTCATAGACGGTATTTAATCATTTCTATCAAACAGATTTATCGTGAAATAATTTAGTTCAATTTAGGTCAATATAAGACTTGCTGTTGCAATAAAATTGTGTTCTTACGGCGACAGGCGTACTTTAAATGATAATTCATAAATGATGATCATAATTTTTCTCTAATTTCTCTTTATACAAATTTGTATATACAAAATTATTTAATAAACATTAATTCACGGGTCGCCTGATACATAGTAAAATAAATACTAAGTGATAGCATTATTAGAGGGGTAATTTGTCGAGGTCCAAAGATCATTTAAGCGTTACGTTATTTTATCAATTTGACAAATTAAAAGAAATTATGTTATTTTTATTTACTAAATATTATTAAATATTTTACAAATTTTATATTTTACAGAAATATTTCTAAGAAAATTTTCAAATTAGTTCAATGTACTAAGGGTATGTGATATCCTTTGATATATTATCATTTTTCCATTTTTTAGTTTCTTTAGTATCAATAATATTACATTGATTAATTTATGTTAAACTTGAATTTGTACAAAGTACAAGCTGATTTAATTGTATGTAGACATCAAAATTAAATTTTATGACAAGTCAGGTACCATTTTTTGGTCTTTTACTTCATAGCTACTTAATAATACATATCTTTTTAGATCTTTGGACAGAAATTGAATTCCGAGTAACACGTTCTTCTGTTACTGTTGGGCATAATATAACTTTTTGCTTTATATGTAGATATACCATATTTTTTTAAGGACAGTTGAAACTAATTATTTTTAACTTAGAGTCGACCTTTTTATAGATACATGCACACGCAAACACATTCGATTGTGTGTAACACTTTATAAATTTTGATACATGTAAAACACAGTAGTCGATCATTTCATATTATCGAATAATGTGAAATGGAAAATTTTGCGATATATACACGGACTTGGGAATATAGTGATGCCGAACGATTTACGGAAGTGTTTGTTAATACGTATTTACAATATATTTTCGATACTCAATAAAGCTTTCACGCTTACAATGGAGTCGAAATAAATAATGTTTTCATTAACAGTTTGTTACAACAATAAACACTTTTTCTCTCTTATTCAAATCTCGATACAAATATGATGTTCGTCTTATGAATATAACTATTATTAATTTTATTTACTCTTTTTTCGTTTATATCTCTAACAGAAGCTGATATTCAACATAGACGATCACAAACTTGTAATTATAACATAGTTGAGCTACAAGATCTTTACTTTACAATTTTATTTCTTATTCTTTTAATTAATTTTATCGTAATGTCTTAAAATAGACTATGCATAAACCAAAATATTTGATAGTGTAGCAGGCGAGTTTTTCTATTGAAATTTTCTTTTGTGCTGATATATACATTGTTTCGGCTTAAAAAATAATTTACATAGTTCTTTTAATATTTAGTACTCCTTTCTTTCTTTTGTTCGTTATACAATTAAATCTGCACTACGAACATCGGTACATATAACGTTACTATAACGTCAAGTGCACATTTTTGAAGAAAAGAACTATATTTTACGATATAGGTATTTTATTTTCTTTTTAATTGCAAACGGAACTGGGTAGAACAGCAGAAAATTACTGGTGACAATAGGTCAAAGCAATTTTCTCTATTTCCAAACGTGTAAATATATAAAAAATATGAGAAGGTGATAAAATATATTTAGTACGGAAATAAAATGTTAACATCTTAACGATTCCGTTTAACATTAAGGCAGTCTCGTAAATACATTAATATTTCCATCCAATTTGAATTGCAAATTTCTTTCTTTTTACGATTCAACTTCGATTTCACATTTCTGATTTTCTCTAAATTTCCATTTAAGAATAACGTCGACGCGAAAAACTAATAATGTTACCATGTTCCTGTTCTCGTGATTAGACAAAAAAAAGGATTCTCACGGATTTTTCTTTTTTACAGGAGTCCGCTCGTGGAAGTTTGATGATGGGTGTCGTAGAATTTAAACAGGGAAATTGATTTTCCTCCAATACGAACGCGTTCGGGTTTCTCGAGCGGAACAGACGTGAAACGAAGTAAAGAAAGAGAAAAAAAAGAAAGAAAGGAAACGGAAGGAAGTGAGTGTGAAGGAGGCGAAAGTGTCGAGGCACGAATGAACGTGTGAATGGGAGAATGAAAGGTGATCCTTCTAACGCAAATGGTAATTCGAAATAAAATGTTGAAGCATTGTTGCATACCTTAGGATCTTTTTTAATTTCTCCAACCATTCCTTACGACGAATCGATATATCGTTTCCTTGTTAACTCTCTCGTCGAGCACCGAAGATCTGAGAAATACTTTTAAGAGTCTTTTTTCTTCGTCTATGCATTAAGTTAAAAAACAATAGGTTAGAATAAAATTTAATATTTACATTTCGAAGGTCAACCATAGAATATACGAGCATTTCTTCGTTCGCGCTTTAATTAAAATTCAAGGGGTTTTACGTCTTCGAGAAATTCGTTATATCGTAGAAAAAGAAAAGGAAAAATAATATTATATTTTATATATATATAGGGAGATGCAGATCGTAGAATTAATTAATTGGAAATTTTATGAACATTGTGGAAATGAGAGAGTCGATTGTGACATCGAGAACAACGAAAAATTTAATTCAGCCACTTCGTCAAACCATCGCTTTATTATTTTGGCTCTCTATACGCGTTTATTCTTACATTATTCATATGAATGAATATAGAAATGATTATTTTACTACAATGAGAAGTGTGAAAATGGACAAAAGAAATTATATTAAAAAAGTATTTAATCGCTGATTCGTAATTAATTTCGTTTATATTATAGCATAATAATTTACGTAGATATATTTATAGGTTAAATATAAATATTCCTACCCCCACCCCAAAAAAAAGGAAAAAAGAAAAAGGGGAAGAAAAATATACGGGAATCTAGTAAAAACGAATCCTAACGGGAATTAAAATATTTTCCAAGAAAATCAGAATATCAACGATTATAAATTACCTTAAAATAAATAAATATTTTTGTTTTTATATTAATTCTTTCATAAATAGTTCACGAATTCACACGCTTCAATCTCTTCGTTAGTTATCATTCCTTCTTTCTTTCGCTTATAAAGTCAGCAATAATTACTTTGCACAGATATTAAAAATATACGAACATAAAGCTTCTCTTTCTTCTGAATAGGTATCTCTTAGATCTTGGTTCACTTTACGACTATAGAACAGAATGCTTGACACGTTTCTTCGACGATCTAATCGATCCATCCACGAAGTCTTCCAAAAATTGAAACTTCCGATCTTCCACAGTCATTCCTATTCGTTCAGATCTTCTGAGATCGCCTTCTTCGATTTATCTAGGAAAGTGGTGGTCGAGTTTAATCCTATTACGGTCGTGGTCGTCGTCTCGCTTACGGATGAGTCCCTTTTCCTATATGGGTTCGATGGGGGGCAGTACAATCTGTAAATCACACCGTTACCGCATGCAAATGCGATTACTTGTTCTAAATTGACCCCATTACAAGCGTTCTAACGCGACACATTTTTCGAGCGAAGCATCGCGTTTCTTTTCTTTTTCTTTTTTTTTCTTTTGGATCATAACGAAAGTATGAGTCTCTCTTGGACGAATCGAAATCAACTGACGGAAGAGCTGAACGGAAAGTTAAGTGATTTATTACGGAGTAAGGGAATAGAATACCTTATACTCTCTGTTCTCGAACGGGGGGACCAATTGTTATAATACCTTCTTTCTGTGTCCAGATCACGAGCCGTTGTCCATCGTTCGATGTGGTGTTTCACCGTGTTTTGAACCTCGGTGTTTAGGAAACAGTAAAACAACGCGACGAACAGACCCTGAAAATATCAAGTGCCAATTAATACGTTCACTGCCCGACCAATTTTCTGCCTGTAGCTTATGAATGCTGTCATTTATGTAGGATCGGTATTTGGGTGAATTGACTTAAGATAGTGTTGTTTGCTTCTTAATAGAATATAAATAGAATGACGGCGGCTGGCTATGAGACAAGAGAGATTCGCTATAAGCACGCTCTTCTGATCTTTCTTAAACTGACTTTAGACTTTAACACACTGTCTTTGTCTGGCTTATACTGAACTGTTAAACTGACTTGGACTTCTTACATTCATTCTGTCCTCTTTCATACCCAAGCTTTCTTTCTCAATCATGCCATTTCCCACGCAATTTCTGTGGTCCAGGTACTTCAACCACTCTAGATGCATCTCTAAATTTTCACTCGGCTCTACCATAAATATTCTTTGCAGTCAATCCTCTTACACACGGTTACTTTCGTTTTAAGGCTAAACACTCTTGTCACTCTTTCAGTTTCGTACTCATTCCAATCCTACATTTATTTCCTCGTTATATATCGTAACGTGCGGTACTGAAACGTTGTTGAACATTGATATTGAAAAATTTAGAAAAATATATAGAATCAAAAAGCTTAGTTATAGAAAATATTTACCGTGAGAGTGAAGGTATCGCAAATTTCACGAATACGATTTAGTTGTTCAATTTAAACGGTGCAATTAATTTCATCGGTATTTGGTTGCCTGAGAATCATCCGGCACGAGTGACGTGTCTCGAGTCGATTAGCGTTAATGCCCATAACAGTTAACGTGTTAAAGCATAGTATGCAGGTCAGGGTGATACTTTATTTTCGTTGTAGATATTTAATCTTCTTCCATTGCAGGAATATTTCCTCAGATATTCCTTCAAATTCTTATTCAAGGATTTTCTAATGAGTTGCTTGAAGTAGAATGCTCTGTGTGTTAATTTTTACGCGTTGCTTTGTAAGAACTGTTTATAATGTACCTTTTCTTTTGTTGCAGGGGTAAATCCTGGCACTAGAGCAATGGAATCATTCTCGTGGAGCAAGAGGTACCCGGAATGTCAGAGATAAAATTTTCCTGAGACCCAAATTTTAGATATCAACGAACTCGCGTGTTCGAATTCGAATAATTCCTTTTTTTTTAAACGTAATAGTATTTTCCTGATTACGCGTGTCGTTGGGTACGAAAAATTCCGATTAACAAAGAATACTTGAAATTCGGTAATACGTGGAAAATTTGCGAGATATAATTTGTAAATAATATTACATTTGAATTACACGAATCAGCTTAAGTGATAAAAATACGAATCGTTGTATCCAAGTTACTTGGCATCTCGATTGCCATGTAATGTTGCGATATTGTCTTTAAAATATTGGAGAAATAGACGGTGATATTTGTAAAATTTTCAATACATGTTTATATTGCAAGGTACCAAATGCATTATAAACATTGCAAATTCGTTGTAATATTTTAAACAGCTTTCTGTTTTCACGAGACAGCTAATATCTTTACACTGTCGTAATTTCACGTTCCAAAATGGAACAGCAATTATTCGTTGCAATAGGAATTCTTAAATAGTAGCTTCAAGTTCCTGTACAGTGTCATGTTATTTTCTCGTGTCCTTCGAACGACGACTAAAATCTACATTAGCATAATAGCATTGCGTAATATATTGTATTATAATCTGCATTTGAAGCGAATGATCTCTAAGCATATTTACTTTTAGTTTAATCGCATTAACCCTTTGCACTCGAGCGATCACTCGATACATACTTTCGTTTGTTTCAATACCTGGAAGCTCGAGTAACGGGTATGAGGCAATAATTAGATTAGAAGTAACTCCATGTGAAATATTGAAACGAAATATACCCGATGTTCTCTTTTTATTTCAAGAGTTTAGAAAAATATAAGAAAAATTTCGAATCGTTATATCTTTATAGCGAACAAAATTTTCGAGTGCACAGGGATAATTCAAACAACTGATTGCATTTCCTACCACGCTAAACGAGGAATTGGTACTATTGATTTTAATCATCTTATTATTATTCCATACCCTTTTTAACCCTTTGGACTCGAAGATTTTTTCCTTGTGAACAGCAATTCGAAGCTCTTGTTAAATTTTTATAAGCTCATTGATAAAAAGAAAAATCGCTGAAAATAAAATAAAATCGTGCATTTGCATTTGCAACGAAAGAATAAAATTATTTTATTTCGATGTTTCGCGTGTGGTTGTTCTTAATATAATTATCACCTTTTATTCGTTATTTAAGTTATAGCATTGAAACAAATTGAGAGTCAAGTGCAAAGGGTTAAGTATATACATTAGAATCTTTATCCTCCAATGTTCCACAGTCATTTTAATTCCTAAAGAAATAATTTTAATAGAAGTTAAGACAGATAGAGTTAAAATTGATCATTCTTTTCACCACGATGTACCTGATTTTATTTAATCCAATACTCTTTATCTCGATCCAAATTTCTACACTTTTCCATTTACTTGTTTTCAGTACCCAAGACCCAGAATAGGTGCTTAACGCGTTCAACGCCATGCCGGTTTTACGTTAGCCGCCATGTGGGCTTTTCAGGGCTGCACGGACCGGCGAGGCTCGAACGAAAAGTCCCTAGGGACCGGCGTGGCGTTTAACGCGTTAAAAATGAAATAAACACGTATGTTTCCATACGAATTGTAAGTCGTCGTTTGAAGGAAGGCTCAAAGACGTGAAAGAGAAAGAGAATGAAACGATTGCTGAGAATTTCCAAGGAAGAATCCTCAATTGTATCCGGGTTTTATTAAAGGAAAAAGTAACGTTGCGAGCGAGTCTCTCGTGGACGCTCTAGCTTCGCTTTTGTAATGAGATACCTTTTGCTGTTGCATTACCTGCGAAGAAAGTAACACGGCTCGAGTGTAGGAGAATGCATTAGCAACCTGACCCTCTGTGGGTCCAGTCAGCACCAGTACATAAGTCACTCCCAGGAGAGGTATCAGTACTAGCAACGCTTTGCTCGCCTTTCGGTATTGCTGAGTTTCTGCGTTCGTCGCGGACCAGAGCTTCGTTATCAGCACCTGCATCAGAGAAAGAAAGAAGAAAATTCGGTCAAGGAACGAAACAAATTCATTTCTTCTTTTTCCTTTTCGGATTAGTACCGGTGACGTTCATGATCTCTGTGACGCTTTGTCCCTGTGCAATTGTACTCGTGTAACGTTATGCCGAATATTCAAGGTATACAGATAATACAGAGTGAGATTAAGATCGTGGATGATCGATAGAGAAACGATACCAACGGTTACTGTATGTAAAAATTTATAATTTCGGACAAAATTCTGGAAACAAATGTGGATCTTGTGTATCGTTTCCTTCATTTGTAAAGTAATATAAGTCATATGTGAATTCTATTTTCCAAAATTTTTATAAGCCATAATTATGTCATTGTATAGGGTAGTAATGTGTATGTAAGAATACTATGAAACTGTAATGAATGGAAATTTTTGTTGAATATTCCTATTGTAACGAATGTCTTTGCGAGCAGTTACGTCTAAGTGTATTTGATGCTATGAATTCGTAACACAAGATTCAAACTCAAAATGGCTATACCAACTTTGGTATCAAACGTTATTTTTGTATCAAGAAGAAAAGTTTAATTCGTATCGTCCAGGAACGTTTTATTCGGGCTCCTAGCTCAACCTCTGGCTATCAATGACTGCCAAGAAACTACCCTCTTTCAGCAAATTTTTCACTGGCACAGGGTAGTCGAATAGTCGAATTTATTAGAAGAAATAATTTAATTTAAATCATGGAATAATTCTGTTAGTATTAGAAATTACCGCGTATCCACTTCTTAATGATTTCTCAAATTCCCTAGGATTCTGCCGTACCGTCCGTTCGTTGAACTTAAAAATGCCTGTCACGTGGTTGTCTGAGAAGTTATATCTGGTTACCGATTTAATGCAACCCACTTTCGAAATGTGTTACTCGAACGAGATATTACCGTTAAGACGAATTACCGATTAATTATTCAACGAAGGATGCTGAATAACTACCTCTACTTTAAACTTAGAACCTAACCTCAGTTTTATGTAAGATGGAAAATGGCGTTTCAAATTCGCGAATGAGCAATGTTGCGAAAGTGATTCGAGGAAACAAAAGATTCCTCGCGTTTATTCGCGATGCGAGATTTCGACTTGAGATCTAAATTGTGAAATTAGTAATCGAAATTACGTCTCCGACTACGTTTTGTATGCTTCGAAGTTTCGCTACGATGGAACGGGGAAAACACTTAAGATAGATGGTTTCATAAATATCTAGATAATTTTCAATTTCGCTCTTTACGTATTCCGGAGCTTGTCCTCTATTTACGAGCCGGAAGTTTTCGTAATCTCGGATAAAAGATGACGGCCGTTCCATTTAAAAGGATTAGAGCAATATTTCAGGAAGAGAGCAGAATCGCTGCAAATCGATGAACAAAATTGCCGGGATGGGAGAGATAGCGTGTAATATAATAATAATCCTTGTTGTATCTTATTCATTTTGTCCATACGATAAACACGGTTCGCGAGTAATTGTATAATGCGAAATTATAAAAAATCATGGCATGCTACCTTTTTCTATATCGTACGATGTGGGTCATATAAAATATTGCAAGATTTTCTTATGAAATTAATAAAACGGGGATGAAACATTTTGGGCATTTTAAAATTCGACGGAATTTATTTCAACCTAATTTCCCTGTCATTATTGTGTAACTATTGAATCGTAAAAATTATGTTCTCCATTGTACCAAAGTATATCGTTCATGTTCCTCTTTCGAATAAATATATTTAGATATTCGTAATTATTTATTTAGAAAATATTTTAATTAATACCTTGTATGATAGAAAAATAAAGGCCCACCCTCAAAGAATTTTCTACTGTAGCTTTGAGCACAAATTTCTTTGTTAATTAATTATTAGTGATTACTGGATGTAGTGTTTGAACTATTGCCGAAGATATCGATAGTTTGTTATTAATTACTATCTTTTATGGAATTAATTTATGAATTACATGCACATATTATAAGAATAATATTATTAGGCATGTTCATGTATTGTTTTTCTTCATATTTTACTTCCAGTTTCAGATATTTAGTATTTTACACGAAAAATCATGTCAGTTGATATTATGAAAATCATGACGCGAAATAAATATTAATAACAAACTAATCAGCATTAAATTGTGTACGAAAATTATATAGGAATGTTGCCTATAGTTCCAGTTTTAAGATACAACTATAAAAGTTCGTGAATTAATTACAGAAACTTGGTGATGTGTTAATTTTTCAATGCCGAATTAAGTTATTTAAATGTGCCGGGAGCACATAATCAGAGTTAGTAATTAATTTAAATAAGCCAATAATATTCGAGATAGTTCAATCTTCGGTCAGCGCCATCTATGATTTTGGACTGGAAGTTCAAAAAAGTAACAGGATCATAGAATGTGCGAGGAGATTTTGCTGCACATTTTAGATAACATTTCTTTTTTAATCATACAGCAATTATACGTAAATAATACTTACTGTTAAATTTAAGAATTTATCTTCACTAATAATACCTTTATTATTAATTGATATATTATTGATTATTTAGAATTTGGGCTCTATAAAAATAACAAACAGAGATCAAAAGATTGAATGAATAATACCGTTGTGAATACAAGAATGATATATATATTATGTTGTTTCTCTGTAAAATTATAATAAATTGTATTCTTTTTTCGTAGATTGTTATATGTTAGCACGATTCCACTTGGTACTAGGATTACGCGTAGCTAGCTACGACACTGTCGAGGCTGGAGAAGCGGGCAATGGCTGCCTAGCGGTAAAACCGCGTATACACTTTACCGACGAATATTTTCTCGATTTAATCGAATTAAAAACTGTTTTGACAATTCTATTTCATAGTTTCTTCTTCAGAAAAGCCTACAGAATACGATACTGTGTAGCAAATTCGTGACAGATAAAGAACTTTTCGTAAAAATGCAATAATAGCAAGCAGAGTAATAAAAATAGTATTTATTTTCAAATTTTCGTAATTGTAAAATTATTAATTATAATTATTCAGAAAGACAAATTATATTATTGTTATGAACATTGATAAACTCGGGATACTCGCACCTAATTTTTAACACAAGAGTGAACCTTCTCACGTTCTTACTTTTTATGTAATACTTAATTTTAGCCAAAAATCGTATTTTTTAGAAAGAAATTCACAATATTTGGAAACTATGGATGATAAAGCAATTACAGTTATTATCGCAGATTTATTATTATTACAGATTCTTTTTCAAGAAAGTAAGTTCTACAAGGTTCACCTAATGGATGTTATAAACTTCTGATAATTGAATAGAATTTCTGATAATCGAATGAATGTTGACATGTCGATTCTAAACAGCGAATACCGGGGATAGGGAATATTCAGATATTTTTAATACTTACCCACATTATCATGAAAAGGAAGACCACGTTGATGCAGAGTACCAAAATGGCCGGAGCTTGGTAAAACCAGTCATAAGCATGAGACACCATCCACGGACAATGCTTGCCCAATGCGACTTCCTGTGAACAACGTTGGTTATATTTATTACTGGAAACTGGGCCAGAGTCAACTTTACGAGCAAACGTAGTTGGGTTTCCTTTTCTTCGCTCTACGAGGGACAGAGAGCTCGTTTCGATGATACTTTAGCTCGTTAACTTCGGCTATTTACTACACGGGATGTTAAGAAAGTTTAGAAAGTTTCGCTGTACGCTGAGAGACGCAGGTTCAGTACGACGAATGTTTTTAGGAAAACGAGACGTGTAATGAGCGCAAATAGAGCTAAGGGGTAATTACATTTGGTATTTACCTCAGAAATCGTTGTACGTAAAATATTCCAGTACCCGAGTTGAATTTATGTAGAAATACTTGGAAGAATTACAAGACTGATCCTAATTTTAAGCTGTCTCAGTGATACGATTACTATGAAATTACTAAACGCGATGTCTAGAATAAGCAAAACACAGTTATAGCAGCCTTTTATGTTAGAAATTATCTAGCACGAATCACTGATAATTAATTGTTGTCATAATCTCGTTCATGTTTTCAACTCGAGTTTGTCTATCTATCTATCGTTAATAATTACTGTGCGTTGCAGAGAAGGAGTCTGTCGTTTCAGCACAGGGGCAAGGTGGTACTCTATTCCCTAGCATGATAGGGTACAAACATGATCGCTCGTAGCCTTCTCTCTTCTATGATACTACCTAAACCATCTTCAGGTTTAATAACGTCGTACGTTAACACTAGAACTACCGATCTTTAGTGGGCACCTAATTGTAACGTGCACGGATTATAGTAATTTCAAGCGGTACGATGAATATAAGCGAATATATTGGTTACAGTTCTTTCATAATATGAGTTGATACCAATTTTATTCTTAAAGCAAGTGTATGTGTTCGGTGATTGCAAAAAGGAAAATTCTGGGACCAGTCATTTTGACTGGGTTGGTAGTTCTAGTGTTAACATAGGCGTAAGACATCCGTACAATTCCTATATTCGAATAACACATTGCAAGTCTGCAAACATGACAGTAATACTGTACGAGCAACCAACGATTATTTTCACTTATACTTTATAAATATCGAATACATATTTAACATGTGTATGAAATATAAGTATAGTTAAATAAAATTCGCAAATGAACATTCATTGGAAGAATTTGAAGTTAATTCTTTAGAGATAGTCTACGCCATTGCATCTATTAGTTGCGCCTGTTGCACTTTATCTCGCTTTCTTTGTTACATGGTGCTATATGCCTGGGCTAACAGGAAAGAATTATTTCTGCCAATAGTTTAACGATAGCAATTTCGTTGCCTTTTCTCGTACGATTGTACGCGGTCGAGGGATTCAAGCTCGATCTAGAGGAGGTATTTTAAAGGATGAAAAATCCTTAGTCAAATTGACGTGCGTCCCACGGGAACGTTTCTTCCTCTTCCTGATGTGTATCGACTACTCTTCGCAGTCCTTATTTGCTTTTCGCGTCACGTTCCTTGCCAGTGCGTTAACGCGGATCATGTCCCGAGGCTCTCGTTCGATATTTCTCGATACTAGCGCCACCTGCGCCAGGAAATTGGGGGATCGACGGAATCCCTCGGATTTTTGATCTCGGCTACATTCTCTCTGATCGTGCACGTATACCGG